TACGCTTCTTTATTTTATAGTGGTTTACTTACTAAAGTCAAATACACAGTCAACCTAAGGACTTAATACTTCCGTGTCTTGCGATCATCCTAAAACCCTTCTTGCCCTTTCACAAGGCTAAATATTAGCATCTCCAACTTCCATCACACAAACTCAACTCAGTGCCAGCTTCTGGTGAGGTGTAAAACTGTCGTGGGTGCAGGTCACAGCAGTCCCTTCCCTGACTTCTTAGGGCCAAAATGGGCTTGGGTGGCTCACAGCGATTCTGAGAGCCTCATTTATTTTCTCTGATACAAAGTCTGGATTCCCAAAACCCTTCAGGGTAAACTCCTGGCCAGCGTGGGGTCTTGGAAGTACTCCACGGCAAATTCCTTGCACCTTCAGGCCAAAGGGAGGTAGTCCCGAGACTTCCTGGACCCCTAGGACCCCACAGGTGTGTCCTGATTGCAGTCCCGTTTTCCTGGTAGGACACGGGGGCGTCCTTCCCAATCCAGCGTGTACAGAATTCTCACTAGGACTCCGTCCTCGCTACAGGACACAGAGGTGCATGTATCATCATCTCTCCGGACTAGAGGCACTGAAGACCGGCCCCATTTCGGGATCAGGCGTGTTCACTGAGGTCCCCGTTAGTTCGCAAGCTGATGGGGCCTCCTCCCCCCTCAGAACACCGGGCATCCCGATGGCGTCGTCCCCACTTCGGTACGCGCAGCATGACCCAACTCTGGCGTGCTCCTTGCACCCTTCGGGCCTCACAGTTTTTAGGTGACGCCCCAGGTCCCCCAGCAGGCCGGCCTCGACCCTTTGTGTGGTAGGGCACTCTCCGCGACGGTCTAGAAGGCTTCCGAAGGCCCCGCCCCGGGCCACCAAAGGGCGGCTCGAACCCCACACAGGCCCGCCCGTTCCGAGGCTTGCAGGAGTCTTACCGGGGAGAGCTGCGCGGTACCCGAACCTAGACCCGAGTTACCCGCCGCACGAGGGCCTCCGACTCGAGGCAGACAGCCCCAGCCCGAGCGGTTCCCGCAGAAAGGCCAAATCAACACCTCCTCCACAGCCTCACAAAATGGCCGCCGGCCCGCTCGATCCCTTTACGTTCCAGAAAGGGGCGTGGCGGAGCGAGGAGGAGGCTTCGCGGGGCGGAGCTGCGCAAGCGTACTGAGGCTTTCGAGAAGCGCCAGGAAGAGGCGGGGGTTTGGCGAGAGGAGTTCTGAATCCAAGCAGGCATTAGTTCGTTAGCCCCGCCTTACGACAGTGACGCTGCTAGCTCCGCCCCTCACTGCAGGATCATGCGGTAATTGCTCCATATTTTTCAAGCCTGCACGAGGACGCGTTTTATGAAACGTGATGTGATTGACTCGTGGTGCTCAGTAGTAGTCTGTGACTACTCTAACGTAAAATCCACAAATTAAGGGTTTTTTTCCTTTTTCTACTTAAAAATTAAAAGAGAGCCTCAAAGATGCACTTCATTTTATTATAGAGAAATTCTCTCCAGGCTAATTGGATCTAGCCCCTAGTCTCCATACTCTTTGCTCCTCTTCTTTATCCTGATAAATGTCACCAGACTGGCCTAGTATTGCAAGAGAGAAAGATAACAGTTTACAAAATTGAAGCCTAAATTCTCACAACTCTCACAAGCTTTTGGGGAGATAATGTATGCCAGACTTTACCGGTGCCAGTCCAGAATTAAGCAACCTGTTGAAAAAGCAGACTATACTGTTAAAGCAAACCAAAAGTAGATCAAAGAATCAATGTGTTGACTGAGAATTATGAATATATCATATCCTGACAAAAGAACAAGGGAGTGATGGTATCCTAGAGGGTCCTGGCCTAGTCAGTTGTTTATTATTAGGAGCTTGTTGTAGAAGATCAAGTATAATAGCTTTCAATATGGATCATATCTCAACATCAAGGAGACATAAATCCTCACCACTGGGCCAATAGGTAACATTATGATAGATGGAGAAAGGACTGAAGTTGTCATGATTTCTTCTTGGTTGGATCAAGATCAGCTCCTTTGGAACTAGCAGTCAGCAAACAATGCTTTGAGCAAGTCTGCACCGTAGTCAGGAGATACAATGCATTGGGCAAAGCTGCTTACTGTCAGAGATTTCTCCAAACTACTGAAGAGCAATATGTCAGTCTGAAAGCTTAATTCAGGCCATTGTCTTTTCTGTCACTTACTACATACCTGAGAGCTAGGCAATGAATAAGGATGATAGAATTGATGCCAATGAGTTGTGATATTGGAGAAGAGTACTGAATCTCCCATGGACTTCTGAAAACAAACAGCTATGTCTTAGAAAAATTGCAGCCAGAGTGCTTCTTAGAGACAAAGATAGCGAAGCTTTGTCTCTCGTATTTTGGGCATGTTGCTAGGAAAAGCTATTTCCTGGGACATCATGTTTGGAAAGGTGGAGGGTCAGCAAAAGAAGAAGACCCTCACCAAGATGGTTAGACACAGTTACTGCAGCAATATGTCAGAGATGATGATGATGATGGCACAGGTTCAGGTCTGTTGTTCATAGGGTCTCTATGAATTGTACTTGACTTGATGGCACCGAACAACCACCACCACCTTTGATGGCTTAGTGGTAAGGAATTATGCTGCCAATGCAAGAGTAAGTGGTACAATTTACTGCCTCTGAAAACCTGCTGGACGTTTCTGACTGAACAATACACGACCACCAGAAACAGATATTTTCCATTGTTTGTAGAGATGCAATGAGTTAAGAATTGACCCAAGGGCACTTAACAACATGCTTTATACAGTTAAGATGTCACTTAAATGTATTTCGGCCATTAAACCAAATGTAGTAGCTATGCTTAGCAGGTCTAGGAAAGCCTAGGGAAAGAAAATATGCACACTAGAAGATTATAGTTGAAAGATTATAGTTGCTAGGCAATCCCAAGGATGAATACTTCATGCTTGGACTTCTACAGAAAACAAAGGGACTCAAATGGTTTACCAAAAATAGTATCATGACCATGACACTCAAAATCAAGCCAGGCTTAGGGGAGCTCTGGTGGCCTAGTGGCAAGAAACTGCACTGCAATGCCAGAGGAACACAGTTCGAATTCACCAGACGCTCTGCCGGAGAAGGAGGCGCAATATCCTCCTGTACCAGTCAAATCTGATTTGACGGTACAGGCACACAAAATAATAATATAAAAAAAAAAAAATCAAGCCAGGCTGAATAAATTCTGTAAGATTTAGAATATGTGATTGTATCTATGTCCCAATGACTGCTACCAATTATGATCACAGATGACCTTGTCTCCAAATGTATAAATTACTGGACATCCTTAGCTCATACTGTTAGTTTCCCGTATTGCACAATGATTTGGCCTTGTTTGGTTTTGTTTCTTTTGTCTTAAATAAAGGGTGTCTTCGGAATGTGTATATTTAGAGTATTTTTCCCCCCATAACATATTACACTAATGGAAACCTCTGAATTTTGACAAATGTTTCATACTTTTATGTAAAATGTAAAAATTAGAGGGATCTAGGAGATAGTTTATAGAACTCTATACTATTTTTTTTATTTTATTATTTTGTGTGTGTGTTATGTACCGTCAAATCAGATCTGACTGGTACAGGAGGAGATTGTTCCTCCTTCTCCAGCAGAGCATCTGGTGGATTTGAACCGCGCAACTCTGGGATTGTAGTATACCTTCTTGCCACTAGGCCACCAGAGCTCGCCAGAACTCTATACTATTTTTGAAGGTTTTTCTGTAAATCTAAGATTATCCTTACAATAATACTTTGCAAGCTGTTTATTTATATGCATCCAAATATATTAGCAAAATTGAAAATTTAACATATGATTGAGGCACTTTAATTTTTTTCACTCATTTTAATATTAGTATTGATTCATCTAGGAGTTTATAGATCCATAAATGGAAAAACACTCCTCTTGATTTCTCAAGCATTCTTTTTAACATCTTAGATTCTCTGTTGTTGATGCTACCCTTTTTGCCTACAATACTCATTCCTAGAACACCCAGCAGAGTAAGCTTTCTCTGTGATTTCTATTAACTATTCTGTTTATATCTTCCATAGAAAGCTCTTAAGACAATATATAGTAGTCATAAGGATAAAGAATTATTTACTACTTATTTCCTGTGTCTCCATTAAACCCTAAGCTCATTACAAGCAGGGTCCTTTTTGATCCTTTTAACTAATATCACCCTAATATCTGGACAATACCTTGGTTTTAGCAGGCATTCCAGTAATTGTTGAATAAACAGAAAGGCAAATAGATCCAGTTCCCCATGAAAATCATAAGAAATTATGGTCTGCTCCACAATTCCCCATGTATAACTTCCACTCTTCCCTGGGCCTCTAATAAAATCACTGAGCAAATAGAAGAACATGAATTTATTTCTCCAACCTGTAAATGAACAAATTTTAAGGAGAGAAACATAAATTATTGTAATAATAGATACAGTTATATAGATGTTTTTAGCTCTTTTAGGTAAAAAGAATGATGACAACAGAAAAAAACACAAGCCTTCTAAGTAACTTGTTCAGTCTACAATCAATAAGAAGAAATGGTCTTTGGAAACACAAAACAGGTTAAATCCCAGTTGATTACACATGTTCCTAAAGGAACCAATCCAGTTGAACAGCAGAAACTGACAACTCAAATACCCACAGAAAGCACTGGGATATGAAAAGCCTTCTTCGAGTTCTTCTGACTCTTTCTTCATCGAGAGAACAATCATGTCCAGCAGCAATATAATACCAAATGTCCCTACTGCTCCACAGTGAGAATGTCCATTCACTATAAGACCAGAGGAAGACTCTTGGAGAAAAATGGAATATTTCTCATCAAAACTAAGGATGATACAGTTTTCTTTTGTTTCTATCTTGGAGGTAAGCTGAAGCTAATGTCAATTGGATTACAGCAATTCTGGCTTGAGTATGCAACACCTTCTGGTTCTAACAAAGTGCCTGGTCAGTGAGGCAGAAGAGGTCAAGTCCATGCATCATGCTAACTCTTCTAATGTTGGGTCCACTTGATGCTCTTAAGATCAATGCCATCTTGTACCATCTCCCAAAGAGGGCTGCCAAAGAAAATAGACATTAGATGGAGGGCTCTGAGAGAAAGCAATGAACATTGGCCCAAAGGCCCTCAACAATGTCTGAACTTTCGTTCTCATCTTTTTTTTTTTAAAAAAAAAAATTATTTTCATATTTTTTTAACAATTTTAATAAACATTTACAGATATTTTGGATTTCCATTCATTCATTGCTGCACTTCTCTCCCCACCCAACCCTCCCCCCCTTCTCATCTTTGCTGTGCTTCTTTGCTCTGGCAGACCTAAATACTGATAACTAGTAAGTCTTCTCTAGCTATGTGAAAGTCCTTACTAGCTCCATTCTCATTTCAACTGACAATAATTAAGAAGAACTAATAAACCTAGGCTTAGCTACCCTAGGGCCCTAAGCCAATGGGCATTCTTAAACTTCTATACCACCTGTGAAATACTATGAGCACAATCTCCTTTGAGGGAACCAAGAATAAAGGTTTGGTGTAATATAGCATGTTGTTGTTATTGTTAAGTGCTATCAAGTAGTAGGCGACTCATAACGACCCTATGAACGAAAGTCCTCAACAGCTGCATAACTTTCATCCTTTCTCCATAAAGCATGGACAGTAAAAAAATGCCCCTTGACAAGAAACTGCACTGCATTCTCAGAAGCGTGCAGTTCGTATCCACCAAATGCTCTGCTGCAGAAGAAGGGACAATCTCCTCCTGTACCAGTCAGATCCGATTTGATGGTACATGCACAGACACACACACAAAATGCCCCTTGAGTATTCTAGAGAGTAACAGAAAGATAGAAGACTTCTGAGGCTAAGTAAGAAAGTTGTGAAAACTATAAATGCTTAAGCCATTCAGCTTGGTACTGGGTAAGAAAATGGAGAACCCAGGGAAGTCTGCAAGAGCTCACAAAAGAATGTACAGTATACATAAGAGCTTTCTCACTCTTAACAACTGGACCAAGAAAATCTTCACATCAAGTTGAGCCAGGGCAGAATGATGCTAAGATAAAGCTAGAGGCATCAATGTGCCCAGGAGGAAGCAAAGAGCTATGGCTACTACAAGAAAACTTGGTGACAATTGATCAGTCAAGGATGCCTTGTCCTTTCCATGCAATTTAGAAAATGAACTCTTGAGTAGTAGATCGTTTCAGATTTTGATAAAAATTCTATGCTTCCTTCAAAAAAATACCTCAGAACAAAACTTGTAACTTTCCATGTAGCATATAATTTCAGGAAAATTATATATCTCCTCAAGTTGAACTACAGAACCTAAATGAACAATCTCATCTCAAGGGCATTTTCCTATAACTAGAATCAATGCCTTTGAGTTGTAGTGTTGTAAAAGAGTACTGATTATCTTATGGACTGCCAAAAGAACAAGTAAGTATGTCTCGGAGAAAGTGCAACCAGAGTGCTCCATAAAGGCAAGGATGATACAACTTTGTCTTACATACTTGGGCATTTGCTGCCAGGGGGCCAGTGCTTGGAAAAGGACATCATTTTGGGTAGGGTGGAGGGTCTGACAAAGAGGAAGACACTCAACAAGATGGACTGACACAGTAACTCTAAAAGACTGTAATAATGGGCTTGAGGAAAGCAGAGATTGGAAAGATGGTGGTGCAGGACAGGGCAAGTTGCAGATTTGTTGTTCATAGGGTTGGTACCTAACAACAAACAGTTTATAGATGACTAATATTTTACTGGTATTAATGCAATGACAACCCCTAATATGAGTAATAATAATAGTAATAATAATAATAATATTGAAAAATACCACTTGTATTTATGTGTTTAAAAACACACCCAAGATTCTGAGAACAGAGCTAATGAAAACGACTTTCTCACTTTGTGGGATTTTAAAATTCTAATTTCTAACTACTCACCAGTTTTGCTCTCTGGAAGTGGGGATATACAGCCCACAAACAAGAGGAGCCAGCACTATAGTTCCTTCCAAAGGATACAACACTGCATACCTCATTTCTCGAAGACGCTTCACATGCTGTATGCACTTTTCTGCTGTGTAGTCCACTTCTTCCTCTGTCGTGAAGCGGCCAATGCCAAACCTGAAAAAGGAGAAAAGTTCTGCATCAAACTATGGACAAGGGTAAATTAATTCAGCAATTATTCACTGAGGATCTCCTACACATAAGATACAGAACATAGAAGAACGTGGTAATCCTGCCTCAGTTTTTCCCTAAGCTGGAGGTTCTTAGAGCCTCCACAACTGAATCATCTGATAATAGGGTTCCTGAACCTTGTCCAGATCTGATGAATCAGAATCTCTGGTTGTGAAAGGCAAGAATCTTCATTTTTCAAATCAGGTGATATTCAATGAAGTTTGAAAATTAAAGTACTAGAAACTTTTTTTAAAAAATTATTTTTGGGTGTGTACCATCAAATCAGATCTGACTGGTACAGGAGGAGACTGCCCCTCCTTCTCCAGCAGAGCATCTGGTGGATTCAAACCATGTACCTCTAGGATTGCAGTGCAGTTTCTTGCCACTAGGCAACCAGAGCTTCCCTAGAAACTTTTAAGAAGAATTAGGAAAGCATAAGGAAACTAAATTGAGAAAAAACATGAAACAGAAGAAGATGGTCCACCTGTCATAAATGTATGGCTCCACTCACTGACCTGATAGAAGAATGAGCCAAATCCTCATCAGTCCCAATTGCTCTAAGAACATAAGAGGGCTCCAGGGAGGCAGATGTGCAGGCGCTGAGAAGAGAGGTATAAAGTCTTATTCATTCATCATCAACAACTGCTTTTAGCCACATAATCCTCAGTCCTAAAGTGATACCATTAAAAAAAAGAGAGAGAAAGATAATCTAACAGAATCAAAGCTTCAAGTGCTGTCCTGGCCCCTGTCCATGGCAATGAAGTGTGGATGTGAACCTACCTATACCATGCCCTATAATGATAATCAGCTAAATCTAAGCATGACAAATCAGGATACCACATGGACTGGGTTAGACCAAAAAGTCAAGGATAACCTATACCACCTGTATCAGTATAAGGGCAAGTAAACCCTCAGTGACCTTCAGCGCTGCCTTCAACCCTAGGGACGTGCAACAGAACTTCTAACAGAACCCTAGAATAGACAGATACATCTGGAACAACCGAAGGCACAAAATTCTACCCCTGAAAGCCCTCTCTTGGTGGCAAACTTCAGTCTGCCAAACCAGCTAAAAAACTGTCACTCCTAAAATGACCTTTACTCTTAACTGAGAGAACTCTTATCTGCCACTTGTCTGTGTTCCCACCTTCACAGTGAGAAACTTACTAAACCATTATATCACTTAGAAACCAGGGTAATCAGCCCTGCCCCAGCCTCTGTCTATCTGGTCCAACTCACCTCCCTGAGGATAAGGCAACATCCTTGAGGGCCATCAGCAGACTCTCTCCTTCCACGTATGCAAAGGAGAGGTTGATACAGCCTGGAAGAAAAACTGAAAATGTGGTGCTCTCAGAGTCTCAGGCTGTTTTAGAATAGGAACAGAAAGGGCTATACCTGGATAATGGTGCTCAGGGTCCCCATTCATCACTACATCTGGAAGATTCTTCATTATCTTCTCTATCAGGCGCTCTGCCAACTTTGAAATTCGCTTATGGTCATACTGTGAGACAGGCAAAGGAGGTAAGGACAGTGACCACCAACTAGCTCAGAAATACATACAATGGGGAACCTACCTCTGACTAAAAGTACTTACAGTCACCGATCATCCTATGTTACTCGTGTGTCCCTAACACTAACCACAGTGTTGAACATACAAAAGGTGCTTTGTGTGGCCTAGTGGCAAGAAGATGTACTGCAATCCCAAAGGAGCATGGTTCGAATCCACCAGATGTTCTGCTGGAGAAAGAGGGGCAAACACCTACTGTGCCAGTCGGATCAGATTTGACAGTATACAAGAAAAAGATTTTTTTTTTAAAAAAGGTGCTTTGTAAACAGGATAATTTTCCTAACAATCCAGAAGTAAATGATCTTATAAAATACTAAGAGGGTGTAAATTTGGGAGCCTATAATATTTCCCTTAGAACAAAATGCTAGCAACTATTGATCAAGGACAAGATTTCTTAAATACTTTCCTAGAGATTGGGCTCAGTCATTCTAAGAAGCTTCTAACAAAGGGACCCAGCACAGGAGAAGAAGTTTTACAGGGAGAGGGAATGGTTCTCCCCATACCTCCATCTCTTGCTGTGCCACCTCACATGCAGCCCCCAGCCCCACCACCAAAGGTGTAGGCACTGTCCCAGACCGCATGCCCCGCTCTTGCCCTCCTCCACTCTGTAATGCCTCCACACGCACGCGGGGCCGGCGGCGAATATAGATGGCACCAACTCCTGACAAATAAAATTTATAAAAAGTGGAGAGAGACAGACAGAGAAAGACAAACAAAAATAAATGAGACAAAATGTCACTTTCTAAACTGTTTAAAAGAGTGTTTCAAAAAAAAAAAAAAGAGTGTTTCAACTTTTCTAAATTAAAAAAGTTGGGGATAAACTAATTAGCAAAAGCGTAATACTTAGCAAATCAGATAGGTCAGTAGATCAGTAGAGGAATGAACAAAATGGGTTAAAGTAGCTGCTTAAGCATATATGAAATGTGTCATTCTATACAGCATTATTAATAACGGCAAAGTCTAAAAACAGCTTAGATGCCTGCCCAGAGTGGCATCCACTTCCCTAATAGCTAGCCTCTGGAAACCCTATGAACCTGGAGAAAGGATGAAATTTATTCAGGTGTTCAGGTCTTTCATTCATAGCGTCGCTATGAGTCGTCTATGACTTGATGACACTTAACAACAACAACAACAACATACCCATTCAAGGAAATACAAAGCAAGATATCAAAGTAAGTAGTTAAGGGTTTTTAAATGAAGTGAGCATCTGATAGTTTGTCCAGGCAGAGACTAAAGATATTGGACCAAGTTTATCATGAAGGATCCAAATTTTAAAATAATTTATATACTAAATTATACTTATTAAAATTTTTTTATTTCTCCAGTGCTTGCCTGGGCAGCACATACACTAAAACTGAAATAATGCAGAGAAGATTAGCATGGCCCTGCACAAGGATAACATAAAAATTCATGAAGCATTTGATATTTAAAAAAAAAATAATTATTTCTCCATTAAATATAAAATTCTGTTATTCTCTATTATGTAAACCTAGTTCACTAAGCTCAAGCTCAGGCAGCAAGTGGCCAGACACTATAATATGGTAAAAGTATAACATTATTATCATCTGTATCATTATTGTTATCTAGATCTACTTAGATCCTGCATTCAGAATCAAGAGATAGATACTGATGGTATCTATCATATACAAGTATACAAGGGTGGTCAGCAGATAAGTGATCTCATCAAAATAGATGCATTTAATAAGAGCAGGAGCCATGGCGGTTAACACATTTGGCTGCTGACAAGCAGTTCAAACCCACCAGTCACTCTACGGAAAAAAGAGGTGGCAAATTCTTTCTTTGGCTTAGAGCTTCATAAACATTATGGGACATTCTACTTTGTGATACACAGTCACAATAAGTATAAATGCGGGTTTTTAGGTCACAAAACCACTCATATGACATGTGGGAAACCTTAGAAGAACATATCTCTTGGAACTGATGACACTTTGTTTCATAAAGTATACACCCTGATGACAATACCCTATAGACACAGAAAGAGTCCCAGCACAATTGTCACTAGCCACCACAAGTCCTCACCACAGAGACAGAAAGTTGTCTATTTGCTATGACTTTTCCATAATACAGAAGGTAAGTGTCTTGCTAAGGGTTAGGGGAAAAGAGGCAAAATTTAAACTTAAATTTTGGGCCTACTGGACAATAAGTAACTTATAATGGCAAAACTATTAAGTTTTTTAAAAATAAAAATCTAATATAAAAGCCCATATTATCTTGCCTAAGCTAAAGCAAGATACCAAGAATGAAGAACTCTCAAAGAATGAATATCATAGTGCTGTGGACAAAAATAAATGGATGTTTCATTAAACTTGAAAAGGTCTCCGAATTTTCAAATAGACTAAGTGTAACCTGCTCTACAGTAAAGTGCTTGTAGACACTACAGATAGGCAAGTTCTTGGCTAATGCTCAGCAACAATTGTCATCAGCAAGGCACACTATTTTCTCTGAGAGCAAAAGTAGCTCCAAAAGATTTCAAGGAATGAATAAAAGATTTCAAGGATTTGCTGGGAGGTATAGAAAAAAGGAATTCTAAGGAGTATTAGTACCTTTTGGACCATAAAGTTTGTGACCACTGATGCTCATGAGGTCAATTTTCATGTTGTTGACGTCAAGTGGAATTTTCCCAACAGCCTGGGCTGCATCAGTGTGGAAATATACCTTTCTGGAATTGCAAACCTGCCCTAAGGAAACAAGAGAAAGAAGACCACAGCACAATATTGAGCAGTCACATGTCAGTGTTCCTATAATGAATGGCCATGATCACATCATTAGCATCTAGCCATACAGTAAATGGTTTCTCTTTTTTCTAACCTTCTTGACTGGAACAAATAATGAAGACAAAACACAATTGATATTCAGACATATAGTACTTTTCCTGTTACAATAACACTGGACTGTCAATATATTAGATTAACATTTAAATCGGTTTCTTACCTTAAGGAACAAATATAAACAAATATTTGCTTATAATATATCTAAGAGACTACAGAGTGAGTCTCTGATTTTAAGTAGGTATAACAATGAAATGGTCAGAACAAAAGAGAGAAAAAATAGTGGATTTTGCTTTGTTTTGTTTTTCCTATCAACAACAGTAAAATGCTGCTGTCTGCCATTGAGTTGAAACCAATAGCTGACCATGTAGTGGGTTTTCAGAGGTAGTAAACTGCACAGAAGGAGACTGCCTATATTTTCCTGTAGAGCAGCTGGTAGATTCAAACAGTGAATCTTTAGGTTGGTGGTGCAATTCCTTACCACTAAGCTACCAGATCCTCTATAGTAAAATAGGAGCAGCAAGAGCCTGGATTCAAATATTGGCTATTCCACTTACACACCCTTGAACAAAGTACTTAAGCTCTTCCTCTTGATTTCTCTACTTCACTCTAGAAAGTATCTTAGTTCCCAATCTTATCCTGCTCCCCACAAATTTCAGTGGTGGGTAGCATTAGGGTCCGACTATGATACAAACCTATTTCCGCAATGGGCTGCTTCACTCCAATTTCATTGTTCACAGTCATGACTGAGACCAGGCTGGTATCAGGTCGGATGGCAGCCTCTAGTTCCTAAGAAAATGCAAGACTGAAGAGATTCTATATTGCCAACAGAGTCTTCCATAACTCAGAATGCATGCAAGGTTAGTCTTGACAAAGGGCCTTTCACTAAAACACCTACTGGAATGATTAAAACAAAAATAGTACCAAATGATGGCAAGAATATAGAGAAATCAGATCATTCTTACACTGTTGTCAGCTATGTAAAATGGTACAGCAACACTGGAAAACAGATGAGTGGTTGCTAACAAAACTAAACATGAAATTACCTTGTAATTGCACTCTTGAGCATTTATTCCAGAAAAATGAAAATTTAAGTTCACCAAAAACACATATATAAATGTTCACAGTAGCTTTATTGATTATAGCAAAAAACTATAAACAATTCCGATTTCCATCTGAATGATTAAACAAAATATAGTACAGTCATATTATGGAATTCTATTCAGGAATAAAATGAAATAAATACTGATATACCCAACAACTTGAATGAATCTCCAAAAATTTGTACCGAGTTTAAGAATAAAATCCCCAAAAGTTACATACTGTATGATTCCATTTATGTAATACTGGAGTGAAAAACATTACAGAAATGAATATATATTAGTTGTTAAAAAAAGAGCAACTTTAGGTATCACTGTGGTGATAGAACTGTTATCTTGATGGGGTGGTGGTGCTGGTCACGGAAATTTACATAAGTGGTAAAACTGCATAGAACTACACACAATGTTAAGTACAAATACAGAACAACTTAAGTAGATTACAAAAATATAAATTCTCTGTGATAGTGATATTGTACTATAGTTTTATAAGAATACATGAGATAAAAACAACTATGACATATCATCTCACCCTAGTAAGAATAGCAAAATTTAACAGAATAGCAAATAACAAATCCTGGTGCGGTTGTGGAGAAATTGGAACCCTGATTCATTGCTGGTAGGAGTGTAAAATGGTGCAACCACTATGCAAGGCTATATGGCGCTTTCTCAAAAAGTTGCACATAGACATACCATTTGACCCAGCAATTCCACTACTGGGAATATACCCCAAAGAAACTATAACTGCCACCCAAGCAGATTTATGCACACCCATGTTTATTGCGGCTTTGTTCAAAATAGCAAAGAGCTGGAAACAACCTAAGTGCCCATCAACAAACGAATGGCTAGAGAAGCTCTGGTATATTCATACAATGGAATACTACGCAGCATTGAAAAACATGGAACTCATGAAATATTCAAAATGGGTGACCATGGAGTACAATATGCTGAGTGAAATATCTCAGCACGAAAGGAAAAATACTGCATAGTTCCACTGTTGTAAAGCAGGACTGACATCGGAGTTGAGGGAAGACTAAGAAAGATGGGATAGGCCTAGTGGCAAGGAGCTGCAACTACAATCCCAGAGGCACATGGTTCGAATCCACCAGATGCTTTGCCGGGAAAAGGAGGAACAATCTCCTCCTGTACCAGTCAGATCTGATTTGAGGGTACACTCGCACAAACATAAAAAAAAAAAA